TTGTAAGGAATGAAATGAAGAAGTCTTCTAGGTTTAGGTTTCAATACTAACTCTTGGTGAAAAGACAAGGATACCCTTACTAAGCTTTAGAAAGTGTTAGGAACAAGGGAACTCCTCTCAAAGCACAAGGTACAACACAACTTAAAGATTGACTAGTCAAATACTAGTCCTTGAGTATTAAAAATCAGGATTTTAGGAATCAATTCCTCAAAAGAAATAGAATTAATTACTCAATTAATTCATGGATTGAATTGTGGATTTTTGGGGTGTCACACTACCCGTGGGTCTACCCGCGGGTACATGGTTGTTGTTGTGAAGGGATTTGTTCCCCGTGATTCGTTTGTCTCGGTATTTGATCCTTTGACTTCCCAATGTTCTTTTGTGGAACTTTTTGAGTGTCTTCTTGATGTTTTGTATGTCTAGAGCTATATGGTAGGTATCCATGTAGGACTTTGGTGTCTTGAATCGTGCTAAGAGTACAACATTGTGTTTCGTTGAACCGAGAGGTGTCTTGTGTGTTCTTCGGAACTATCTTGAGTTTCCCCGTTGATAAGCATGCTAGTTTGTTATCTAAATGCTAGCATGTGTGTGGTTTGTACCTTCCGTTTGGTTGATGATAACTTGCGTTATTCATCGTTGTTGTTGTTGGGCTGTGACCCGTTCCTTGATTGAGTATGTTTCATACCTTCGTTGCGATCCGTTGTTTGACTCGTGTTGAGTTGTGGTGCGTGTGTGGCTTTACCTGGATTGCACGATTAGTGGTATGGGACACTAGTCACCAAGGTATTGCAGCGGTCCTCGTGGTGGCCGTGGCGTGATTATGGAGCTGTGGCCTTTGTGTAAGGTTCACGTTTTTTGGGGGATAATAGGTGTTATCCAGTCTGTGTGCCATGTGCGTGATAGTGCCGCGGGTACTATGAATTGGTGGTCGTTCGTTGGTGGTTTGTTGGTGGGGGAATGACGATTCCCGGCGGAATAAGGTTGGACTGTTTGTACAAGGGTCCTGGAGGTAAAGGTTGGAACTAGATATAAGGTTAGGGGTAGCCATAAGGTTGGAACAGGGCATAAGGAAGGCATATCAACTCGTGGCGGGTGATGTCACGAGGGCTTGTGTAGCCGTGGTTGTGTGTTCTCTCTTGTGACGTCTGTAGTCACAAAGGCATGTGTTGCCTAGGCATGTGTTACCGGTTGTTGTGTCTTTGTTCTTGTGGTGTCGTTACCGTTGTGGTCTTGGGATGTGTTCCCGTGGTGTTTGATTGATGAGTGTTGAGTCTTGAGTTTGGTGTTTACTCTTGGTTTTACACTTATATATACGTATTCCGTTTCAAAATGATTTTTGTATATATCCTACCTATGTATGATACTTAACAGGTATTGGTGGGTTACCAGCATTATCGCTGACCGGGCGTCGTCCCAATGTTTATCTTTGTATCTTTCAGGTGATGTCTAGACGAGCGCGATGTTTAGAAGCCGGTAGTCTAGCACCTTTTTTTCTGTTGTGGCCTGTGTGCCGTAGTCGTGATAGACTGATGTCTCTTTGGGATAGTTGTATACACTTGCAGATTGTTCACCTTAGTGTTTACCGGGTTTGGTAGACATGGCATAACACCCCATTCAGATTTCTTTTATCCAGTTTTCTTTTTATCTTCCGCTGTGCTAGTTTTGTGCTTGATCTGCAGGTGTTAAGGCCTTTTTATATAGGTCGTGTTTGGGGGTGTTACATCATGAACATCATCATATTTGGCCTTCATTTCGAAGTCATATGCTTTTAGATCACTAAATAATTTGTCTATTGACAACATTCTTAGATCTCGGTGATCGCGCATAGCCGTAACCTTCATATCTCATGCAGATGGTAAGCCTCGTAAGATTTTTAGATTAATTTCTTTTTGGCTAATATTTTTGCCAAGATCACTAATCTCTCCAAGAACTTTGATCATTCGTGCCTCCATATCTGCAACACTTTCATTTGAGAGCATTTTGAAATCTTCAAACTTCTTCATGGCAATTGTGAGCTTATTGTCTTTCTCTTGTTCATCTCCTTCGCCAATCTTGATGAGAGTTTCCCATATTTCTTTTGCAATAACACACTTTCAGATCTTCGGAAATATTGTATCATCCACGTCTTTGAATAGAATATCCTTGGCAATATTGTCAAGATTATTCTGTGTTCTATCATCCGATGTCCATTCCGGTTTAGGCTTTTGTACGTACTGTGGAGCATCCAGGGATAGGACAAACGATGTATTGACTTTTAATATTTCGATAGGGCCAGTGGAAATAACTTCCCATATTTCATCGTGTAAAGCCGATAAATGTACCTACATACGAACTTTCCAATCATCAAATTTATCAAGTGAGAATAATAGATTCTAAGCTAAATCTTTATTCATCATCATCACGAGAGATATGAAAGATTAATCCAATCACACACTTTGTAGAATGGATCTGTCTAGCAGTCAGAAACAGTTGACCCAATTAGGCAACGTGCTTAGATAGCAAATTGGCATAAATAGACATCCTGCTCTGATACCAATTGTTGGTCCCAAAAGAGGTAAGGTTAAAGTCTAGAAGGGGGGGTGAATAAAGTTTCAAACTTTTTCGCACAGCACAACAATTGCTAAGACACAGAGAAACCAAAACTCTAAACTAGATTGTTAGAGTATGGTGCACAGCGGAAATAAATAAAGATAAAGTGTGTGAGATTGTGACAAGTATATCTCGTGAGAAGCAAGTAAAGGGCAGTAAGTAAAGAAAGCAGTAAAGAACACAAGACAATTATAGTGGCTCGAAGGTGGTGTAATCCTCCTACTCCACTTGCTCTTATCTCCAAGAGCAATTCACTATATCCACCACTTCTTGGTTCCAAGATACAATGAATTCCGTAATCTAGTGCTTTGATCACCAAGCCCGCACTAATCACGCCCAGTGACACCACACTGCTGCTTCGGGTTTCACGTCGCCGTGCTACTATCACAGGATTTCACGACTCCGCGTTACTTTCCCCATGTCTCGAATCTTGAACTCCGTAGCCAGCTTGGCCACAATACCTGAGACCCGCTGTGGATCCGAGCCCATAACCAGAATGTCGTCGACATATATCAAGAAATACAACTGCACATCACCATCAGAATAAATAAACAACGACACATCAGTCTTAGAAGGAACAAAGCCAACAAAGCAAAGAAAGTCGTGTAACCGAGTGAACCAAGCACGAGGAGCCTGCTTCAAGCCATAGAGAGAGCGTTGTAGAAAGCACACATAATCAGGTTTCGACTTGTCCTCATAACCAGGCGGCTGACGCATATACACAGTCTCAGCAAGGGAACCATTCAGAAACGCGTTGTGGACATCCAGCTGCCAGATGGACCAACCACGGGAATAAGCCAAAGAAAGTAAAAGCCGAACCGTGGTAGGCTTAACAACCGAACTGAAGGTCTCAAAAAAGTCCTTCCCAGCAACCTAATTAAAACCCTTAGCCACCAGCCGGGCCTTGTGCCGCTCAACAGTCCCATCAGCATTCCGCTTGACCCGAAACACCCACTTACACCCCACAACATTCATACCTGGAGTGTAAGGAACAAGAAGCCACGTATGATTCTGTAGCAAAGCATTAAACTCCACATCCATGGCCTCACGCCACTCGGGATGCCGCACAGCCTGAGAATAACACGTGGGCTCAAGCGCATCAGCAGTAGATAATAAAGCAACATGCTCTTTAGGACCCATACTCCGTGTGCCCATCACATGAGATCGCGACTCAACAACCTTGGCACCACGACCCCGACGCGCCCGACCACGACGAGCAACCTGCCCACAGTCAGACACTGTCCGCTCACTAGAATCGGAGTCCGGGACCACGGGGGTAGGAACCGGCGGTGCCGCCCTAGCAGGTAAAACTGGCGCAGGAACAGAAACAACAGGAGCAACACCCCATGGTACTGCCCGGGGCTGGGCAACCACCTGCGTAGAAACGCCACTAGCAAACGGAAAAACAGACTCATCGAATCGCACATGGAGACAGATAATGACTTTATTAGTGACAGTATCTAAACAACGATAGCCACGGAAAGAATCAGGATATCCTAAGAAAATACACGGGGACGAACGATACTGCAATTTATTACGATTATATGGACGCAGCAGAGGAAAACAAAGACAACCAAAAACACGCAAAAAAGAGTAGGATGGAGGAGAACGATGTAAACGAAATCCCAATAACGAGTAGGCATCTTATTAATTAAGTAGACTGTCGTTTCAAACGCAAAATCCCAATAACGAGAGGGAACAGAAGCCTGGGCCATTAATGCCAACCCAGTTTCAACTATATGCCTATGACGACGTTATACCCGACCATTCTGCTCATGGGTATACGCACAGGACTGCCTGTGACGAATACCAAGATACTCAAACGTAGAGTGGAGCTTTTTGTACTTTCCCCCTAAATCATACTGAATGGAAATTATTTTATGTGAGAATGAACGCTCAACAAGGGATCGAAAACGTTCAAAGATAGTATAGATATCGGTTTTTGCACGCATAGGATAAAACCAAACAAAACGCGTAAAGTCATCCACAAATAAAACGAAGTAACGAAAACCATTAACAGATGTTATTGGTGCAGGGCCCCAAATATCAGTATAAATGAGTTCTAACACACGAGTACTCGAAGTAGCAACACGAGGTAAAGGAAAACGGGAAGATTTCCCTAACTGACAAGACGAACAAACATTTGACAATTCACTAGAATTAAATTGACTAACACCAGACAACTGTAAAATTTGACGCAAAACTCGTGTGTGTGGATGACCAAGCCGCTGGTGCCAAGTGGAAGACGACACACGCGCAGCAACATTAGCAGACGGACTACGACAGGAAACAGGCCAAATGTATAAACCGCACGACGCGCACCCCTTAAAAAGCACCTTCTTGGTCAAGAGATTCACAAGAAAATACTCAGAATGAAACTCAAAAAAGACACGACTATCCCTGGCAAAACGCTAAACAGAAAGCAAAGACGACGATAAGCCAGGGACATACAAGACATCATTTAAACGAAAAAGCTTATCAGAAGAGGCTATCGAAGCAGAACCAACACTAAGTATAGTCATGCCTGCACCATTGCCAACCCGTAGAGTGTCAGAACCATCATAGCCAGCAGCGGAAGTCAACACCGATGAGTCAGGAGTCGCATGATTTGTGGCACCCGTGTCAGGGAACCACTGATGAGAATCAACAGAGGCACCCACATCTCCGGAATAAGCCATGTGAACCTGAGGACCGGGCGACTCAGAATACCTGCGATAGCAATTCAACGCAGAATGTCCCTGTTTATCACAAATTTGACAACGCACATCGGACCAGCCACGTCCACAACCACGACCTCCCCGGCCACGGCCACCACCCGAGCCACCACTGCCCGAACCACCACGAACCTGCCCACCATGCATGCGACTGCCACGGCCTCGGTTCACTGCCATAACCGCCGGCGAACCGACTCCACCACCGCCAGCCGCACAGATCCACTCCTGAGAGGTAAGGTAGTCCGAATGCTCGGACAACGTCACCGGAGAACCACGCGTCAATGGTGCAATGAGTGGACGAAGCTCCGGCCGCAACCCGCGAAAAACATAGATGTTTTGAACATCAAGCGTGATCGGACGTCCGGCAAGCGCCAAGTCTTCTACAAGCATCCGTGCTCGGCCGAGATAATCCGAGACAGAAGACTCCCCCTGCGACAGTGCCTGCAATTCACCAAGAAGCCGCAAGGCACGAGACCGCGTTGCCGACCCTAGTTCCTGCTCAATAGCCAGCCATAACGCACGCGGAGTCGACCGACCAACCGCCATATGCATCATCTCATCGGACAGTGATGAAATCAAAAGAGACAAGATGACCTTATCTTGCCTGCGCCACTGTTCCGAAGCCGAAGCCGACGCACCGGACGCTGCCGCACCACTGCTCTCCGCCGTGGACTCCACCGGCGCTGCTCCGGTCGAACACGCGAGCGTACCGTCAACAAAACCAATGAGGCCCTGCCCTTCCAAGAATGGAAGCATTTGAGTCCTCCAAAACAGATAGTTATGAATGGTAAGCTTCAGGGAAACAAAATGGCGAGCCGACGAAAGGCTCGGAGCCGGGTGGGAATGAATGGGAGCAACCTCAGACACAGTCCGTTCGGAAGAATCGCGAACAGAACCATTATTATCATCTCCAAAGGTTGCCATGGAATAAACCTGGATACTGATACCAGATGAGGATTTGATTATTGAATATCAATCGTAACTGAGTCTGTACAAACAATGATATAGAGAATAGATAAAGAGTCCTAACGAACTACTAGTATAAGAGTCCTAATAGTAAGGACATACATACTGTTTACTAATGCCTATACAATCATTTTTACAAGATAGTTGGAACAGTATGTTATGGGTTAGCTTTTAATTAAACCAATTTCTTTTGCCCCGGGGAATCGAACCCGGGTCTATACCATAGTAGGGTTGATTTTGTGCTGTTAGACAATCATGAACATAAGTTTTGTGATTATATATCTGACAACTATGAATACTCACAACTATTATCAATGGTGTAAATTAGATATTTAAATGTTATTCCGATCCATGTCATGTACTATTGGACTTTAACTTCCTATTGCAAGCAATAAGTTTATGCTCGCAGCAAATACACCGCTATGAGATTTTATAGTTTCCAAAGTACGGTGTTGTATTCAATATAACACTTTGGAATGTGATTAGTCACATTACTTAAGTTAACATTTCAACAACGTATATTATCACAATATAAAATGATAATAAGTAGCATTTTGAACCTTCTCGCAATCATAATCCTAACTATAACAAAGCCAAATCGTTTGGGGGAAAAATCCCGCCCAAATGATACGGCGTCGTTTAAGGCAAACTTAGTGGAATTAATATTATGCAAAGAGAACGTCGTCGTTTGGTTTAGTAAATCGTGCCAGTCGTCCTTGGTTCATAATGTTTGCACAGCCATTTGAATTGCATCTGCATAGGAAACAACAGTTCGACAATAAAGGTTGGTTCATCGATCTATTTTTTCATGTATCGTTTAACTGTATGGTTGAAAACTTGAAAGTTTTAAAACTAATGCATGTCTTTATCATGAACTCACAACAATTCTTAGACAACTTACACACAAACGATACCACAATTGGAATAAAACAAATATAATATTTGAAGAAAAATAAATCATAAGTCTATTACCTTATGTAGAAGCTGCAAATTCCATATGTACTGTTATCCTTTTGATATATGTAGACATTTAGGCTCCGTTTGTAAAGCAGAAAAATAACTTCTGAAAAATGAGTCATTTTTCAGAAAACATTTTCCTTTCTGGTGTTTGACTACACAACAGAAAACCGTCTTTGTGTGTTTGGTTCATTTTCCAGAAAATAAGTAGGAAAATGAAAAGAATTCAATACTTCAAAATTTTAATTTTTTGATACTTTTGATAAAATCGTTTTGTAAATAGCACTCTTTTGATATATATATATAATTAGGTTCTGGAACGGTTAGGGTGCCCAGTTGTGGTTGTGCCGTTTAATCTAGGCCATTCATCTCGCTTAAATCAACGTTCAGGATTACCAAAATTTAAAAAAAAAAAAAAAAACGCGGTGGTAATTTTGTAATTTTTGCATATAGGTCAAAATTAAGGTGAGGGTGTTGTAATTAATGTGCGTGAGTTTTGTATATAAGATGTGTGAGTCTTGTGCGTAATGTGCGTGAGTTATGTGCTTAATGTGCGTGGGGTTGTGCTTAATGTGAGTAGTTGTTAAAACTTAAAGTGTGGGCCTTTGTGCTTAAGGTGCGTGAGATTTGTTATTAATGTGAGTGGAGTTTGTGCTTAATGTGCGTAAGGTTTTTGCTTAATGTGTGTGAAGTCAGTGATTAATGTTAGTAGTTGTTGAAATTTAAGGTCTGTGAGTTAATACTTAAAGTGCATGAGTTTTGTGCTTAATGTGCGTGAGATTGTGTTTAATGTGCATGAGTTTTGTACTTAATGTGCGTGAGTTTGTGCTTAATGTGATACATTTTAAAATCTTAAGTGTGTGAGTTTTGTGCTCAAAGTGCTTTGTTCTGTGCTTGGGTTTTGTACTTAAGGTGAGTGATTTGTCTTCTTAAGGTGACTAGTTTATGGACTTAAGGTGCGTGGTGATATGTGTATTTAAGATGCACCATGTAAATGACTAAGGTGCGTGAGTGCGTCCAACCGCACGGGAAGCCATACACCAAAATGCAATTAGGTCCTTGAACTAAAAAACAATGCAATTGGGTCCTTGAACAACACAATTGGTGTATAATTATTTAAATAATTTTAAATAATATAATTAATAAATAATATAATTATTTAAAATTATTTTAAAATGTTATTTTTCAAATTTGTAACCGCCACGTCAGCATAATTTATGGTAAACAGGTTATTTTGGGTGTAATTGCATGAGTTTGTGTTGTTTAGGAACCGAATTACATTATTTTTTATTTCGGTGGCCTAATTGCATTTTGGTGTGCAGTTGAGTGGCCTATTTGACCCTTATTCAATTACTAGTTTTTTACGCGCATTGCGCGATTGGGATAATGCCCAATGTTTTTTTTAATAAGTACTTTAAAGTATATCAAGTCAGAATTATATTAGAATTGTTCATGCATAAATAATTAAATGTTGAATTTGCGTATTTAAATAGGTAATTCTAAGTTTACAAATGCAAGATAATATAGTTAAGATTGATTATAATTATCAATAAAATAATTGTATAGGTATGGTTGAAACCAAATACGGGACATAAGGGAGAGCAAATAAAAATTAGGGCATAAAATTTTAAATATATACTAATATTGAAGAGCTAATTGTTGATTGTCAAACAAAGACATTGCGAGGTAGTTTTCTACTTCAATTTGTTGTGTAATTTGAATACTCTTTTTGTAAATAAATCCCCCAAGTAGTTAATATGATTCGCTTAATTATATTTTTTTATTTTTTTATTTTAAAAACAATTATTATTCTTAAATATATGTCATGGTTGCAGTAGGCGCTAGGCGCTAGTCGGGCGCCCGGACAGCGCCTAGCGCCTAGACGGTCTAGGCGGCGCTAGGCGGGCGCCAAAAAAACAGTGGTAGACTTGCAGTTTGACAATTTTAATGAGGTTATTTTCAACATTTAATCAAATAATACATCCAAATAAATGAATTAATGATAATTCATAAGTCATAACATCAAAACAATGGTTTTCAAAAAAAAAAAAATACATTAAAACAATATTAAAAATTAAAAATACTCAAATATGAAATACTCAAATACTTCAATCATCCAAAGATTCAAAGTATCAAACTAGTCTACGAGTGTATATATGTCATATTATATATATATGTATGCGCGCGCGCACATACACACATATATAATAAAAAAAAATAGGCCGAGCCGATCGGGTTAACTCGACCGAAATTGACGAGTTAACTCGACTAACTTAGACGCTAGGCGGCCAAATTGGCCGAGTTAGGCGCTAGGCGGACGCCTAGGCGGCCGGTAACCTAGGCGGGCGCCTAGGGGGGAAATTGCCACGGTCTAGAGGCGCCTAGCGCCTAGGCGGGCGCCTAGACCGATTTTTACAACCCTGATATATGTATATCCTTAGGTCATTTTACATGTTAATCTAAAAAGCTAATTTTTTCAAATATCTTTTTATCAACCGTTGATATAATTCGCTGGTCAAATCAGCTAATATAATCCACTTACACTAACTGTTAACTACTGATTGTCAAACAAGGACATTACGAGATTGTTCTCACTTCAATTTGTTAATTGTGTGATTTGAATACTCTCTTTGTCAACAAATTCCTCAAGTAGTTAATATGGTTGGCTTTATTAATTATATTTTTCTTAATTTTTTCATGGTATTAATAAAATACTTGGTAAATAAATATATAACATTATTTTGTATTATAACTTTGATACTTAATTAAAAAAGTAGTGCACAAAAAAGATAATAGACAATGTAGTAAATATAATCAATTGATGAATTTGAATGTAAAGAATTTTTACATTGGAGAAAAATAAAGACAATATAATATAATAAAATTAATTCTCTTAATTAATTCATTGATAATGAATAATTTTTTTTTAATAAAGACATTGTAGGGACAATGTAGCGAATATAATCAATTGGTGAATTTGAATGTTGGAGAAAAAAAAAAAGACACTGTAGAAATTGTAGAAAAAAAAAAAGACAATATAACTAATGAATTAAGGGGGAAGAGAAGCTGGATAGAATCCTCGTGACTGAGTCTTGGCATACTTTGTTTGAGGGGGCTGTAGCACAATCTTTTGCTACCCCGTACAGCGACCATATTCCATTGTTGCTTGTTCCGGTTCAGGTTACCCAGGTTTTGAGGAGGAAGCGTTTCTGTTTCGATAATATTTGGCTGCGAGAGGACCGGTGCAGGGAGATTGTCACACAAAGCTGGGATAAAACGGTAGGACATGAAACACTGTTCAGAATTGAGGTGTGTGGCCATGACATCTGGAAATGGGGAAGAAATTATAATAGGGATTTTCAGCGCAATATTGATAAGTGCAATCATCGACTACAGGCTCTCCGTTCGCGCAGTGATCCAGCGGGTATGGCGGAGTACAGTTGTGTTGAAAGGGAGCTTCTTTATCTCCTAGAACAGCAGCATGTATATTGGAGGCAAAGAGCTAAAGAGCACTGGTATAGGGATGGTGATGTCAACTCAAAGTATTTTCACAATTCTGTTAAAGCTAGGAGGAGGAAGAATAAGATACGGAGAATTCAGAATGAGAATGCGGAGTGGGTGGATTCGGAACAAGAGGTTGGGCAGGTGATGTTGAATTATTTCTCTACACTTTTTAAATCTGAACAGGGAGCTATGGATGCAGTGTTTGATTGTGTTACTGCGAGGTTAAGTCCTGACCATAATGCCATGTTGATAAGGGCGGTTAGTGTGGAGGAGGTACGGAAAGCTGTTTTCCAGATGCATCCGGATAAGTCACCGGGTCCGGATGGTTTTGGTCCCGGCTTCTTCCAACACTATTGGGACATTGTTGGAGGGGAGGTCACTTTGTTTTGCCGCCGGTTCATAGAAACTGCAAAGTTGCCTGCAAAGGTAAATAATACCTTCATTGTTTTGATCCCTAAGAAGCCAATTCCAGAAACAATGAAGGATCTCCGACCGAT